AGAAATGGCTCTGGCTCCGGGGTATTTATAGACCCCAGAGTCCGGGCTTGGGCCCGAAAACTGGGCCTCCGGATGGACGCCATCATTACACACCGCGTCTTCGCCCAACCGGTGACGCCGCCCACGGACAGCCAGCCATCACACGCCACGTGTACCCCCCCCCCCCCCCCCAATGGCTATAAAACCTGACGTTACATATTCCAACGGCTATATTTCCAACGGCTATATTCTGGAAGCCCCCGGGTTTTCTACTTCCCCCATTCCATCAAGGATAGCCTCCGGGTACACTTACCCAGAAGCGCCCCCGGATTGTGCCCCACACAGCACATAGCAGATGCCTTCGGGATCACTCCTTCAGAACCCAAGGCTTCATATCAGGGCACCCCTCGGGGATTCCCCCTCAGCACTGCAAAACCGGGTAGCCCCCGGGGAGTTGCCTCATTGACGGATAACCCATGGCACACAGGTAATGGGAGCCCTCGGGTATCTTCATCACCAACTAATCAACAAATAGTGGACCCCCCGGTAACATCTCCACCGCTGCCCTCATCCAGCAGGCCCTCGATCCCCAGATTGAGGGGCTCCCCTTCGGCACCCCCAGGACATCAACAACAAGCCTTCGGCTAACCATTACATGAGCCCTCAGGAAAAGAAGAGCCTTCGGCATTACCGTTATTCTCCATTTTTGACCCAGGTTTGACATTTTCGATTCATCATTGGGGGAATTCGGTGCACTCTTTTTCCCTCATTAGGATTTTTTTCCCCCAGGGTTTTTTCCTAATGAGGTTTTTAACGAGGCATCCCCCCAAAATGAAACGAAAAACGTCAGCCTTCGGCCCACAACAGCAAACGCAACTACTCTACTCCTTTTCACCACTTTACAAGTGCCTCAAGGAGTGAGGGACTGGAGGATCCCCTCGGGAAAATCATTAAATTACAAAATTAGTGAAATTCCAACAAACGACAAGGCAAGCCCTCAAGTCCCGACATGTGGGTAACTGAGGGACTGCCTTCGGCAGGGACATAAAAGCAACAACTCCTCACCAACTTCAGAGATCACGACGGGACAACATCAAAGGGCAAGCACAAATTACTCCTTTTCCCTCAAGTACCTTTCGGCAAAAGGAGTGAGGGACTCCTGATGGAGTATATGGCCCGGGAACACCCGGCCCACAGACTCCTACTACTCCTTTAGAGGCCCAACAGGCCCAGAAGGTCCAACAGGCCCAAATCACAGCGCCCAGAGTACCAAGCAGCCCACACTACGCGCCAGGGGTGCCTTCGGCCCCCTGACCGAAGGCTCTAAACTCTCGCAGAACGGGTTTCTCAAGCAAATTAAGAAACTGGGAGAAAACGGCGAAAACAGTAGCCCTCGGCACTGTGAGCCCTCGACACCAGGGTGCCATCGGTTGGAGGAGCCCTCGGCTACTGCTCTATGGCCGAAGGCATCTCACTCGACAAGATATCCGCCTCACATGCGTACAGATCACCGTACCCTGCACAGACGTCCCATCCAACAGCCGCATTAAATGCGGCCACATGCGGCTGCCAGCGCCAACCAGTTGAGGTGACCCCTCGGCCAATGAGCGCTTGACACGTGTCCCTGCCCGGCATTTATTGCTACTATAAATAGCACCCCATTTCCCCATTTGTAACCACGCTGAAAACGACATTCATACTGAATACACTCTCTCTCTCTACTTTTACTTACTTGCTCTGACTTCTCTCTAAGTTATTCCCCGTAATAACCCTTCGGATATATACCCCCGGGTAGACTATCCATCATCTGGTCTTGTCTGAACTGATCGGTTCTGATAAATGTCTGGTCTTTGTGTGTTTTATAACTATCCAAGTTTAGTCTGATCTAATCTGTTTAAGTTTGATCTGATTTGTTATGAGACTGAATATAGTCCAAAAGAAAACATCCTAATAGTGTATTCCAATTCAATACATAAAATAAAGTTGCTACCTAATTACTTATTTTGTAAGTATTACCTATATATGAAGTTTAGCTCGAGTATCACATAATAATAGATTTAATATTCTAGAAATCATGATGTTAATGTTACTCCCTTTGTCCCTTTGTAGTTTTAATAGGTTTCATGCATTACATCTAGCAAAATAATTTACTAGTACGCCCACGAAGTATTGAAGTAAGCTCATAATTACTATTTCAATCTTATTTTTTTAAAAGTTGTCCAATTTTGATCATTCTCACTAGTCTTAGGTTTTTTAGTTTATAAGTTCTTTTGATAAATATATGGGCAACATGGTCATATATTAAACATCTGATCAGTCATACAATAAACGTATTGATAAAATGGCCTTCTTGATTGCCTCAATCATTACTTCGAGCTTCGTTGTCTCTCTAAAAAATAACCTCTTAACATTGAGAGATTAATTGTGTCTTGTGAGTTACTCAGAACAATTCTCCAAGTTCCGGATTATATACACCACAACACACAAGGACACACCCCCGAGGCCCGAGGGATGGACAGGGCCCGGGCCCAGGCCTGGGCCGGACTGGGTCTCGAGACAGACCCGGTCGGTATTGATTTTTTGGGCTTAAGGCCCGGTACCGGCCCGGGATTCCACCGGGTCCGGTACCGGCCCGGGATTCCACCGGGACCGGTCCGGGCCAGTCTACCCGCCCGGGTCTCGGGTCGGGCTTTTTTTTTGAAATCTTGTTTAAAAATTAATTCAAGAAGTGCTAGATATAAAAATGTTAAACTACATTTATTTGAAATATGAACTACAATTGAGAATTGAGAAAAATTTAAAACATTAAATACATTTCCTAATAAATACATTTGTTTTCTCCATGAAGTGGCAGGTGGTGGCGATGCTATGTTTTTGAGTTCTACGTTCGGCCTTCAATCAATCGTGGAAGCAAACAAGCATCTCAAGAGATTTTGCGCTCAATCTCGTTCTATAATACGTTCGACCTTCAACCAATCGTGTAAGCAAACATCGTTCTATATATATTAAGTAGATAATAAATATGAGTAGATATTATATATGTATTTATATGTAGATACAAAATCTATAAGTAGATACAATAATTGTATAATATAATGTTTATAGTATAGAATATATAAGTATATTACTATAAGATGAGTAATACACTTATATATAATACTTTAATATATGTACTTAATATATTAATTAGATGTAATATGTAAATATAAGTAAATAAAATGTATATAATAGGTAAGATATTAAGTAGATAATAAGTTCTACCTCCGTCTCGATGGACTTTGCCAAATGCAAAGTAGGTGAGAAATACGAATGGTAAAAACGGTGTGGTTGAGATTTGCGCAGAGGAGAGAGAAATGTGCATAACCACAAATTAGTTGCTTTAATAGGAACGTGGCAAAGTTTTTTGAGAAAATCAAAAAAGGAAAGTTGGTAAAGTCCAATGGAACGGAAGGAGTATATATTATGTAGATAATAAATACGATAGTATAAGTAATGTAATATATGTATGTATAAGTAGATAATAAATATATAAGTAGATATAATAATTGTATAATAACTGATTTAAATAGATATGATAACTAATTATATATGATAGTATATATTAATAGGTGTAGAGAAAATTGGAAAAGATGAAGACGGAGATGATAAGGATGATTAGAGAGTATTAGAGAGTAGGAAGAATTGGAGAATAGGTGTAGAAAAATGTTTAGAAAATAAGAGTATATATAGATTTTTTTGTACCTCCACCCCCACCCCCACCCACCCACCAGACCCCCCCTCCAACGGCTATAGAGCCTTATTGGCACTTTGGCAATGGCTAGGAGCAGCCCAATTTAATAAAAAAAAATAAAGATATAGCTGTTACCGGCCCAGACCGGTCCCCATTTTCTCTATCCCATACCCCCTACCCCCGGTTCGGGCCCCATGGACCGGTACCGATTTCGATCTGCGGTCCGATTCGGTACTAAACAGTACCGGGCCGGGATGGGCCACGGGCCTACCAGTCTAAGTCAGTGTTCTAAAACGCGCTAGGCACTAGTCAGGCGGTGACTGGCCGCCTAGCGCCTAGCCCGCATAGGCGGGCGCCTAGGCGCTGACTAGGGCGCCTGAGAATTTTTCCATTAGTTTTTGTTTTCTTTCTATTTCCTTTGAATTTTAATTATATTACTAATAATTTTATTGTGAGAATATGAAAATAAATTAGGGAAAATGGAAACAAATAATCCAACCTTTTAGTGGTCTTCTTACAATAGTCATATCTTTTCATTATTCATGAATAATCCAACATTTGCACCCCATCTTCATTCACTGGTCCCTGACCGGTTTATGACCTGTTATTTCACGTTATTTTCTTATCTTTGTAAGACAATATGTGATCATAAGGTGGGAATTATGGTATAATGTTTTACAAAGATAAGAAAATAACTTGGAATAACAGGTTATAAATCGATCAGGAACCAGTGAATGAAGATGAATGCAAAGGTTGGATTATTCATGAATAATGAAAAGGTGAGACTGTTGTAAGAAGACCGCTAAAAGGTTAGATTATTAGTTTCCATTTTCCCAATAAATTATATAGGATAATAGGAATAGAATATTTCTTGATCACACGATGTTTTAAGATAAAACGGGAAAAAAGATTGGTTCGGGGAAATTTTTAGTCCAGGCCGCCTTGCCACCGCCTAGCTGACTAGGCATCTGCCTAGGCCTCGAAACGATTTTTTCCACCGATAAGAGCGAAATCGGGGCGCCCGACCACCGCCTAGCAACTAGGCGGCACCTAGGCGGCGCCTAGACCGATTTTTAGAACCATGGTCCCTGTCCGTCCCTAGGCCCGAGCTAATTAAGTGTGTCTCGAGTTCGCAACACAGCTCCCAGAAGAACCATCATTGGATCAACCAATATCTCCAAAATCCCAGCATGTTCCAACTCCCCATATAAGAGAAACAATGATCACGCGATACTCAACCTAAGCTTCAAGGGCTAACATATAACCAAAAGAGAATTCTTTCAATTTCGCTTCCTTCTGTAATTTGAAGTACAATTTCTCGATAAATAGAGAATCTCAAGTGTAAAATGTAATTTATTATATCTCCCCACTCATACAGTTGTGAGAATCTCAAGTGTAAAATGTAATTTATTATATCTCCCCACTCATACAGTTGTACCTATTTTAGTATGCCATCATGTGGTCTCATAGTTTTTGTAGATGGCAGTGATGCAAACATACAGATTACAGATACAAGAGTACATAACATTAACAGATTTTGTGTGTCCCAATAACACAAGTACATCTCTTACATTTTAGAAAAATAACTTACAGCTATGGCTTACATTAAACCTTTGGTAATGCTGCCCCTGGGTCAATACTAAAGAAATGCCAACTGGAACTATGGAAAGCTCGAAGGCAATCTTCTGAACATTTGATTCTAAACTCCTTAGAGAATTTCCTTGCAGCTATGATATGCTTTCTCGGGTCTGCAGAATAAAGGTTCTTGCATATCGACATGTGATGCTCATATTCCTCAAAACTGTTCCCAAACAGAATTATATGATTCAGAAGATCAACAGTCCAATTCGCCTGCAACAGATTTTCATACAACTCCGCCTCACAATGTGGCATGAAGAACAGTGTGGGTTTTATTGCTTCTCTCCGACCATTCTCATTTATAGACAGAACAGAGCACCCAAGCGATTCCAGAACCCTAGATTCTGTTAAAGATATTATCGGATCAAATATTTCTATCTCTCCGATCCAACTAAGCTCCCTTTTCATCAAGATCGCAAGGCTGAGTTGCAATCTGGGCGGTTCAAATGATTCTATGCTGCCGATGCCATATATTACCATGCAGACCTTCGTTTCAGGACCCAAAACCCGTCCAATCTGATCTGAAGTTTCACCTGTTTGTATTTGGTCTAGGAAGTTCAGCCAAAAGTGCGAGGTTTCAAGTTTCTGGATGCAAGTTTGAATCTTTTGCATCAGCTTTAATTCAGTTTCTGGGTCTGTTTCATAATCTTGTGGAGCCCAAGGTTGTTCTTGCTTTTGTTCTTCAGAGGGATCACTTGTTTTGCAAGTAATCTTCTTCAGCCTTGGACGTCGAGGAAGAACAACGGTCCAATCTTCAGTGGTACTTGGGTTGTTCTCAATAGAGCATGTTTTTACTGATCCAGCCATTCAATGGTTTTAAAATAACCTAAGTTTGAAGGGGGCATCCGTATTTATATTAGCTACAGATATATAATCATAACTGAACCCAAAATTGCATGCCAAAACTAAGGTGTATAAAACTCCTACTAATTATCATGAAGAGCACACAAACCACTAAGTTTCTATCAGGTTTAAAATATCCTTTTTAAACTGTTTGCGCTACTTTGTAATGAAGCAGCACTCAGCACATGCAATTTTGGACGCAATTTTCACTCTGGGTCATCCGAAAACAGTCTCTTTGTGCTTTAATATAAGGGTAAGACTGCGTACATCCGACCCTCCCTTACCCCACCATAGGTGGGAGCCTTTGCGGAACTGGGGTAATGATGATGATGATGTTTAAAATATCCTTTTTTTTAATCTTTCGTGACATTTTGGACGACTCTTATTAAGAGATCACTTAACCCACGTTAACTCTGTTTCCATGGCTTATGTGACAAGAGGTCAAATGGCTCTTAGTGGCTCGTCTCCATATCCCAACTTCTTTGCTGTCTATTATCATATTCTTCCTTCTTCTGATTGGATTTCCTTTACGGAGTTCTCAAATAACAAAATGGATAATTTCACTTCCATATGAAGAAAAAAATCACCACCAGTATCGTTATATTAGTACTCAAAACCTTAATCCTAACTAATTATAACTAAGCTTGGTGACATTGATTTATAGCGTAATACTATAAATTCACGCAAAAAGCATATTCCCAATGTTACGCCACATACAACAACAACATTCAAGCCTTAATCCCAAAAGATATTGGAGTCGGCTAACATGAATCGATACATGATATCACCATCAAAAGGAAAACAAAGGAAATAAAGATAAAAAAGATAAGTTATTATAAAAAGATAATATAAAAAGAGATAAATATACATAAAAATGAAAAAATAAAAAGGATACAAATAATGCTTATATATATAAGGATAAAAAACAAGGAAAAAGATGAGGGAAAAAAATGATACGAGATCACTCCTCCACACGAATACCCGACCTCCACTTAGCTCTCTCCAAAGTCATGTCCTCATCCAACCCCAGAAGAAGCATATCACTTCGAACTCCCCTAACTCAAGTCTGTTTGGGTCTTCCTCTCCCTCTCTTCTCTGCCTCTTCTCCACACATCTCAACTCGTCTGACAGGTGCATCACTCGGCCTTCTACGCACATGACCAAACCACCATAGGCGCGACTCCCGCATCTTGTCTTCAATAAGTGCTACTTCCACCCTTTGTCCGATTGTCTCATTCCTCACGCGGTCCTTCCTAGTATGTTCACACATCCAACGCAGCATGCGCATCTCTGCCACACTCATCTTTTGGATGTGACATTGTTTCACCGCCCAACACTCTACGTCATACAGTAATGCAGGCATAATTGCCGTCCTATAAAATTTACCCTTCAGTCTAGTCAGCATACCTCGATCGCATAGAAATCCTGATGCACTCTTCCACTTCATCCACCTTGTTCTGATTCTATGGGATACATCTCCATCTAACTCACCGTCCATCTGAATTATGGAGCTCAAGTAACGGAACATATCGCTGAATACTATCTCCTTACCATCCAGACTAATTCCGCTATTACCATTGCTTCTACCTCCACCAAACTTGCACTCCATGTACTCTGTCTTGCTCCGACTTAGTTTAAAACCCTTATTCTCCAATGTTTGTCGCCATACTTCCAACTTTGCTTTAAGACCTGATTGCGTCTCATCAATCAATATAATATCGTCAGCAAACATCATGCACCACGGTATATCATCTTGAATTGACTTCGTAAGTTCATCTATGACTATGTCAAATAAGAAAGGGCTCAGAATCGATCCTTGGTGCACTCTGATAGTAATAGGGAACTCTTCAGTCCTTCCTACACTACTACGGACACTTGTAGTACAATTCTCATACATATCCATGATGATGCTGATATACTTGCGTGATATGCCTTTCTTAGTTAAGGCCCACCAAAGAACTTCTCGAGGTACCCTATCATATGCCTTTTCTAAGTCAATGAACACGAAATGCAGATCCTGATGAGCATCTTTATACTTCTCCATAAGTTGCCGAAGAAGGTGAATGGTCTCAGTTATTGAGCGACCAGGCATAAAACCGAATTGATTCTCTGAAATCTTCACAGTTTTTCGAAGTCTTTGCTCAATCACTCACTTCAAAAGTTTCATGGTGTGCCTCATAAGCTTAATCCCCCAATAGTTGGCACATTCTTGTACATCACCTTTATTCTTAAATAAGGGGATAAGAGTACTCTTCCTCCAACTCGTTGGCATCTTGTTGTTTCTCCAAATCATGTTGAAGAAACTTATTAACCACTCGACGCCTCTCTCTCCCAAACTTCTCCAACCCTCGATCAGTATGCCATCTGGACCCACTGTTTTCTTCCGTCCCATCTTCCTCGGAGCTTCTTTAACTTCCGTTATTTGGAACCGTCTCACAAAATCACGATTTACCATACAATCTGGTATGGACAAATCACCAATATCTTGCGTTTTGTTCCCGTTGAATAGTGTATCAAAGTATGACCTCCACCTCTCTTTTCTCTCCGTCATCCATTAATATCCTTTGATCGACATCCTTCACACACTTAACTTTTGCAATATATTGAGTCCTGGGATCACGAAGACGAGCAAGTCTATAAATATCTAGTTCTCCTTCCTTAGAATCCAACTTTTCATACAACTCCTTGTTCATTTTCCCTCATGCTTCCCTTATGGCTTTCTTTGCTTGTCTTTTAGCCTCATTGAATGCTTCTATGTTCTCATCACTCCAACTTGTCCCCAACTTTTTGTAGCAATCTCTTTTGTTCCTTATGGCTTGTTTCACCTCATCATTCCACCAAGACGTGTCCTTTTTAGGTGACAGACATCCTTTAGATTCTCCAAGTACCTCCTTTGCCACTTTGTTAATGGTCAACTCCATTGATAACCACACACCATCCACATGTGTTTCATTATCAATACGCCATACATCTTCACCGACCATTTTGTGTGTAAAGCTTTGTTGAAGATCTCTCTCAAGCCTCCACCACTTTATCTTTGGCTCCACTTGTTGTTTAAATTGTCTTCTATGGTTCTTACCTCGAAAGTCAAGCACAAGCATCCTATGCTGAGTGACAACACTCTCAACTGGAATAACCTTACAATCAGTGTAGCTAGTTCTCCAAGTGGTCCGTACTAAGAAGTAGTCAATTTGTGTACTATTAGCTCCATTTTTATTGGTTACAAGGTGAGAGTCTCTTTTCTTAAACCAAGTGTTCATTATAGCCAACTCATACATCAAGGCAAAATCCAAAATGTTTTTTCACGCCTCGTTCCTAATGCCAAAACCATGTCTGCCATGAATACTCTCAAAGCCATCACGACTCGAGCCCACGTGCCCGTTGAGGTCACCTCCTATGATCAACTTCTCTCCCCTTGGCACTCGTCGCACTATGTCTTCAAGATCTTCCCAGAACTGTTGAGTTGTAGATGCATCGAATCCCACTTGTGGTGCATAGGCACTTACCACAGACACAATCTCACCCCTTATCACCAATTTAATGCTCATGATGCGATCATTCTTCCTGAACACTTCTACCACATCCTCAACATAGTCACGCGCCACAATAATGCCTACCCCATATCTGGTTTTATCTCTCCCCGAATACCACAACTTAAAACCTTCGGGATTAATCTCGCTTGCTTTCTCTCCAACCCATTTAGTTTCTTGCACACACATAATGCTGATATTCCTTCTCCTCATAACCTCAACTACCTCGGAAGATCTGCCTGTAAGAGACTTAACATTCCATCTCCCAAAACGCAATCTAGCACTCCACCTTCTGTTCTTAGCCCCATCTCGGACCCCATCATGCCCTTGCATATTTGACATCATTCCCGGGCAATGGGATGACGCGCTGCTTTCGGGCGACGACCTAGCAACCTTAGCATTCTTATCACCACACTCATGTCTATGAAGTGTAGCGCGCCCTTGAATATTTGACACCACTCCCAGGCGGAGGGATGACGCGTCACTTACGGGTGATAACCTAGCATTAACGATATTCATATTTTGATTCATGTCACATCCTTCTATGAAAATTATAGACTTGTCACAATGCCACCATCATAGGTTATTTCTAGGGCTGGCATTTTGAACCGAAAAACCGAAAACCGAACCGAAAAAAACCGAACCGCTTTGGAAAAAAACCAAACCGAACCAAACCGATATAATTTGGGACCCGAAAATTGGGACCCGATAAAAAAACGGTTCGGAATCGGTTTATAGTGCCAATATATCAGTTTGAACCGAATCGAACCGACATTTTATTAATAATAATTATAATGAATTTTATAGTTAATGATCTTTATTAAATGTATATAAATAATACGCAGTCCAGAAGAACAAACAAAGCTCTCTAGTGCGATGGTTGCCAAGCGAATTCGGGGACACGGACGTCCCGTGTTCGAAACCTCGGTGCGTTTGATTTTTAGTCTCTGGGGCGTTTATTTTAAACTCAAATACTCAATGCTTCTTTCAATTTTATTTCCACAAAACTTTTTCCCACACCGGAGAAATGAGAGAACTTCCTCCTCAAAAGCAACTATATAGAGATGTTTTCTCTAGGAACTATTCCTGAAAGTCCTACACTATCCGTGAGATTAATTGGCAAAGTGACTTTGGGCTTGCACTTTGAAAGCTTGGGCTGAAATTGGGCTTGCACTTTTGAATGTTTTGGCCTAGTGTATTGAAAAGTTCAAATATTTTGTTTAAAAATTGAAAGTCGGTTTTTGATTCGGGTCTTGGTAAACCGACCCGAATTATCGGAAACCGATAATTCGGTACCCGTCTCTGAACGGTTCGGTTTCGGTTATGGTTTTTTGGAAAACCGAAATGTCGGTTCGGTTTCGGGTTAACCCTAATCGGTTCGGGTACCGAACCGAACCCAACCCTAGTTATTTCTATATGCATTGAAATCAATGTAATAATATAGCGATTAAAGCAAAAATACCATCCCAAAGCCGTAATTATTCAATAAAGCTACGAAATTCAGGAAAACAAACAAAGAAGAGAAGTAAAAACCTGCAAATGCCCCAAAGAAAAGTCGAATGAATGAGAATCATACACGGTACACCCAGACAATACCGTGAACTAGCGGCCAGGCAGGCTAGGTATATGAAACCTGCAAAATTTTGGCTTATGTTTCCTTTACGGATTTGTCATAAAACTTAATAGAACTGTCAAAGATCATATGCTTTATTTATTTTGACGATTTAACAGGTGATACTGATTTTATTTATCACTGTGTAATATTTATAAATGTTCATAATAGGGGAGCAGTGTTTTCAAACAGTGGCGATAACGGTACCATGGCTGATGGCTGTGGCGGAAATTAGCGGCCAGGCAGGCTAGGTATATGAAACTTGTGAAGAGTGGCAGTTTATGGTAGGTCCATATGGGGGAAGTTCTGGACTTTTGGCAGCCCACCATTATTGAAACTTCATGGAAGTGTAAGTTGAGAAGAAGGAGCATATTTAGGAATTTATGTAGGAGTAGTTGTTTTCTTTATGTTCACAATGAAACTGTTTGCACTAGATCTTCACTAGCCAGGGCCTTGAAAGAAAAAATGATCTACAACAAAATATATTATTGATAGTTGATACTATTAGCAATGTCTCTTTCAACCTAAAGTGCCACAAAGTTACACGAAAAACGTCTTCAAAGGATTTTCCGTTTTTTGTATCTAGCTAAGACCAAGGTATCTTAAGTACATTCACTAGTTTTCTCAGGGAAGGATAACAATGTTCCTTTTTTATTGAAGATAATTATTTGTGCATTCTTATTTAAAAAATACACACACAAAAAGTGGAGATGGAAAATAGACTAATAATTCACAAACTGATAGAGATTGTCAATCCACTAGCAAAGTAGAAGAAAATACAGTTCCAATGAATAGTGATGCTAGATGCAGGTGTCAATCAACTAAACAAAGTGAATAAAAAATCAACTAGAACATACCGATTAATTTGGATCAGGAGAGCAGCAGCCGTCTTCCAAAGGGTCTGGTGTGCCCTGAGCTTTGTGTTCTTCTAACTTGGGGTGGGGTAGCCTAACATGAATTGGCGTAGGACATGAGATTTTTAACACTCAAAACCACATCAATACTAAATTACTATTGGGATTAATACTCCGAATCATGTTCATAACAATGGGAATATGGGATTGATACTAAAAATGAAATTAATACTCACAAATTGCTATATGTCTGTATATTAATGCAAATTTGCAAACGAACTGCAGACTATAACGCACTACTGCCGTCTGGAACACTCTGATAACAAAAGCTAGACGGATAAAATTAAAATCACTAACATTCTAACAAGAAAAAAGTAACAATTAACTAATAAAATACTTGGTAAAATAATAATCAATGATTCAAAGTTTGGGATTGCGAGTTCTGCAGTTTTTTCATTTTACCTGGCGCTAGATGAGTGCACGAGCCAGGAGAGGAAACAAAGAGTGTCGATGTGCGCCGGCGCAGTGGTCGGTAGACGCGCAAATCAGAATATTCAGGCGAGGGAAGCGGAACGGCGGCGAGGTGGACCGTGAACGGACACAGGGCGGCAGGTGAAGGCGCAAGGCGAGACGGGCCGCCGGTAGGAGTGGCATGGGAAGGCGCCAGGCGAGGCGATGCGAAGAAAAGAAGACTCGTTCACATGGGCCGTCTCTAGTGTTGGTGTAGATACGGACGGCCCGTAAGCAGTCCTAGTAGCACAAAATTCTTTTTCAGCATGCCCTTTGATAAATACGGAGGGTATATATAGAGTCCGTTTGCTAACACTCAAATCGGTTGAATCGAATGATTCTGCTAAAATTTATGAAATTTTGGCTGCATTGACTGATTCTGCTGATTTAAGAAAGAATTATATTTAAAATGTATTTTATTAATCAAATAAAGAAAAATTACATGAAAAAATAGCTAGAATGATTATCTACAATAACTTCAGCCAAATGCTGCCAGAAAAGTAACTCAAGCTTTACTTTTCTAATTATTACAAAATTCAGCACATGAAATCAAAAGTTATGTGTTTGGTGAAAAAGTTGGCTGATAAGTCGAAAAACAAGGTCACCAAACGGACTCCTATAATGCTAATTTTTTCCAGAATTGGCCTTTGGACTCGGATAATTAATTCTAGAGGAGGAATACATTGAGTGGCAGAGTCAAAAAGCGATTTAGGGTTTGAAATTTAACTACGTACAAAATAAAAAGGGTGGATTGTTTTTAAACAATATTTGAGTTGAATTTTTCATGTGTAGTTTAGATAATGGTACATAGTTAAATGAGAGTAATAGAGTTATATATTTCATATAAATGTCATATACATTATAGTACATAGTTAAATGAGAGTAATAGAGTTATATATTTCATATAAATGTCATATACTCCCTCCGTCCCTTAAAACTTTGTCATCTTTCTTTTTTTGGGACGTTCCAAAAAACTTTGTCACTTTCCCTTTTAATCAATTATTTTTGTGGTTTCTGTTATTTCTCTCTCCTCTGCAGAAACCTCAACCACACATTTTTTACTTTATTATTCTCCGTCCCGGTCAACTTTGACAAAGTTTTAAGGGACGGAGGTAGTACATTATAAACTTCACGTAAGTAATGAGTGATTGATTTAGACATTATTTTTAAAATTGAGAATTTAATCAATATTACACATCAAATTTTACTCATTTCAATTCAAGTTTAGATAGTGCTGATTTTGCAAGAGTAGTAACTTTTAACTCGTAATGAGTTACGAAGTCATAATATATCATATCGAAGGTATTCAAGTGTTATATATTCTCAAATTTCCAGGGGGCGGCTGACCACCTTGACCTCCTCGCTCTGCCCCTGAATACAGCATATAATAATTTTAAGAATAAGAATAGCAATGGTAGTAGAAGATTTGGTTGATTTCTCCAAACTCCAGAACAAAACAATTCGATTTTTTTGTAAAAAGTTTTTTTTGAAGGATTGTGAAAAGTTTTTATTTAATCACACCTAAAAATAGGACAGTGGATCCATTTACTAATATGTGCATGAGGCAGGGGCGGATCCAAAAATCTACAATGGGGTGGGTTGAGAAATAAAATTTGAAGACACGTACATAATAATACGTAAAGTCGTCAACACTTTTAAATATTCATCAAAACATCATTTAAGTTGTGCCTTACGCGACTTCAAAGTATAAAATTCATCAATAATATAAAAGCTATATCTACTAATGCAAAAAGATGGAGGCAGCCCCAAATTTGAGATAGTTTGGATTTCAGGGATTTGGTCTTGTGGAGGAACCTCATTTCGTAGATCTTGCATTATAGTAAGTATAGTTTCAGAACTCCCTTCACCACTTTGACGAGAAAGAATGACGAAATCAACTTCTGTCCTTTCTTGTCAATATGCTCATTAATCATTATTCATTCTAAAAAACATTTTGAATATTGGTATGAATTAAAATACTTCTATAAAATTATAAAACTAATAAGAAAAGGCAATAGTTGTATATAAGACTAATAAGTATTCCCAATTTCAAAATTCAATTGAAAATTTTAATTCTTTCTTACATGTCCACACAATAAATAAATCAATCTATATTCTTCAATTGTATAATAAATAAATCATTCTCTAATCTTTAATTATATCTTTAATCATTATGAATTATTAATGAATAAACACTACTCGTATTTTGTTATGAACTGAGAAATTCAATTAATAATCAAATCGCTATGTAACCCTAAAAATAACGATACACAATAACCCTGAAAAAATCAATTAATAAAAGTCTAAGAGAGTATAGAAATTCAGAGCTAGAGTATATCTGGTCACCTAGAGGCTGGAGCTCAAGAGCTACAGGCAGAGGGGAGAGCCGGAGAGAAAGGACGGCCGAGTGGGCGACGTCTTCCTGCGCCGCGGCTGGTGGCTGCAGGTCGGCTGGTGTTCGCAGTTCACAGCGTCTTCAGTCTTCGTCGTTTCGTCGCAGGCTGCCAGGCTCCTCTTCGACCTCCGTTCTTCAATTGCATAAGGACTTCAGGACGCCGCAGGTGAGTGAAATAGTTGGACACGCTTTGGATGGGCTGGAAATTAATTTTGGGCTGCTAATCAAATATATACCTATATTAATAAATAAATAAATTGGGCTGGGCTTCAGCCCACTCCGCCCTTGCAATGATCCGCCTCTGGCATGAGGCAATTTTTTAAACAACCCAACAATTAATCCATGATTAAAAACTGACACATGGGTGAGTTTGGAGCTCGAAGATCCTGTATGGCGCTTTACAGGCTTTTACGGATGTTTGGAGAGGCAGCCGAGACGGAAATCATGGGATCTGTTAAGATTTTTTAGTACGCGTTCACATCACCCTAGCTAATCACGAGAGACTTTAATGATCTTCTTTGTGTATCAAAGAAGCGTAGTAGAAGACTCCCTCATCCCTCGTGGTTGCTCAGAGGTTTTCCAGAGTCGGTTTGGGCGAGTGGCTTGCATAACTTCTCCTGAACGGCCAACCAGTTCACATGGGAGTGCGGGAGAGGTACCCCGAATTGGGTGGAGAAAAAGCTTGGTAGAGTCCTTAAAGGGTTCTTCAAGTGATCATCTAGCCTTATTTATCCGTCTTGATCCGACAAGAGAGCTTAACCGGAAGCGCATGTTCAAATTTGAAAATGTATGGCTTCAAGAGGGTCTCTGTCGGGAGAGTAATAGAAGTTGGATTGTGGCTCGCGGATGTGGAGTGCTTGGCCAAATTGTGGGGTGTAGCCAAGCACTTAATGACTGGGGTAGAGGATGGGCAATTGGTAGTGCATCAAAAATAAATGTGAAAGTACAAAATATTAACTTTTTTAAATGTTTACTAATATGAAATTAAATATAATAATAGTCAAAGTTGTGCATTGGCAAACGTAAAAATCAAACTATTGCAAGTTGTAAAGAACGGAAGATAGTATGTGAAAGTGTTCCCGTAAGGTAGGTCTCATCCCACCAATCGTAAATGGTATGACCAATATTTCCCTATTATTAACTCATCTTTCATCTTTCCTCTTTGATCATCTTGTACACCATCTCCTCTATATATCTAACAATCCCAAATTCTCTCTCTCTCTCCTCTAACACTTTCTATCTTCTTCCCAATCTATCGGACAAAAATCTTCACTCTTCGATTCTGGTCTCAGTTCCAAAAATTGAATATTGGCCCGAATCTTAATTTTTAGTCCCATTCTAGTTCGAAAATCGTATGGTCCTAATCTTATTTGATTCCAGAAGTGTGTCAACCCATATCCATTTTTAGTTTTTGTAATAACTACTCACTAAAAGAAGTTACTGAAATCTAGAAATAGGTAAAAGTTTGTATTCGGAATAAGGGCTAAATAGTTTGAGAGGGGTCATTAGGTATTGAACTTTAGATAACTCGATTTTACATAGGGGTGAGCACGATTTGTTACGGTTCGAGATTGGGGTTATTTGAGTCCCAAACTGATTACTAGCAACGATTCAGGACCATATGAGACAAGCTAAGCCGTTGTCCTAATGTTGTCCTGCAACCCAGAACAATTTGTGGGGTCCTAAACTAACAAAAATGTAATTAAACAAAAAGAGTTTGCATTCCAAAGTAACATATATTAGCATTTCTATTGTATATATGCACAAAAAATGCAACATTTTAAAAGTCATTAATGTTAATAACAAGCAATATGTTCCATAAAAAATGAAAAGCTATTAAAACAAACTAATCTAACAAAAAAATAATTTAAAATATAAAAGAAACCAAAAATGATATAATATATTGAAATAATGAAATCAAGTTATGAGAAACTCATATACGAATATAAGTGTGGCAAAAAAACATAGACTACTAGATCTTTATGATAGGTATTATTTTTTTGTTTACAATTTGGTGTTGAAAAACCAAGAGCTAACTAGTATTTATTTTGTTGAGCTTGCATTACAAAGACAAACAAATGCTTTAAAAAATATGTAATCATATAACGACACAACGGGACATAAAAGGACATCCTTCTGATGTTCATGTCATGTCCTGTTTAAAATCGGCATGGGACCGGTAAAGGGCAAAAAGGTTTGGTCTTATATAGGAAGAAATAATATCGGAACGATTTTGGAAAAATACAAAGTTTTGATAGTCGAATGAAGGTGATGATCAATTATTTTCTACTCAATTTATTTTCACTAAAAATTACTTCTCTCCAAATTCTCACTCATCGAGTAACACACATGCATGTGTATGTATTATGAAGTAACTAGTATGTGTACCCATGCATTGCACGGTAAAATGTGTGTTTACAGTTTTTATTAAATTATAGGGGAAATGAATTGTATGTGAATTCATCAATCAGAGTTTAAAAGGAAATTCAATCGATTATGAATAGAGCTATCAAAAAGAGTCGAACTCCATAAGACTAGTCCATTTCATCCAATTTCACGGTGGTTAGAGTTGTCATTCTTTAATCCGATGAACTCACAGGTTTCGTGGGTCAACTTGCACGGGTTACTGGTTAAGTGGGTTGACCCGTGCAGGTTGCGAGTTACTCAAATTTAATTTATCTATTTTTACTTTCATTGTCTTCAATATTGATGTTTTACTACCAAAATAATTTTCAAACGTACTTATTATTTTACAATTCTTGTTTAACTATTGTTTCCATATAAAATAATTATTCAAATAAATTACTCTAGCGCGATCAAAAAAATAAATAAATTACTCTAGCATTATCTCTACATATGAACCGGAACGTTAGATTTGAAAGTTGTCCATTATATATAGGGATGCGTTCAAATGAGAAGACATTTTGATGTGTAAAAAGAGAATTAGAATGAACAGGAATGTTAGATTTGAAATTTGTGCATTATGTGAAATACAAATATGTGCAATCATAAATAAAAAATGCACCTCAATTAATTAAAAATAATGTGCACCGTTTGATATCATTCTCATCGTTTGATGAGACCATTAGGCAATTAGACGAACCAAACGATGAAAAGCATAATCTACAACGGGTTGGGTATGATTGGGGAGTGCTAACCCATTTAACAACGTGAAACATAAATTACAAAGTATAAATAAATATGAGACAAAAAAGTGAATTTACCTTTTGAAATTGATTTGGTAGACCTTGTGAATTGGTAAATAGATAAGTAATATGTAGTATCACATTTGTCCCTTTAAGCTCGACACATGTGCATATATTAAAAAAGAGTTTATCTATCTAACGTGCACATGTATTATAATATTTGGATCTACACAAACATAGTGAACGAAAGAAAAAGGAAATGTCGGGGAAAATTAAGGAGACGAAGGATGTAATAATTATCGTATCTTTGAAAGAAATAAGAAAGAATTTATAAAAATTCCAAATAAAGGAGAATCTCCAAGAGTTTATGAGAAAAGAAAGAGAGTAATATTTTTATTTTAAGAGCGGCTAAAAGGTGTTTTTTGTTTTTTATTTTTGAGTATTTGGATTTTGTAATACCGGCGAGTGCAAAATTTCATCTAATTTTATAAAAACAAATATACACATATATTAATATAAATACATATACATATAATATTTTCATATATAAGAGTAGAGTTTTGGAAGTTGAATAGTTTTTTTTTTAATTTATTGTGTTGCCACGTCTCACTTTTTCATACAAATAATGTTGCCACATGTCAATAAATCCTCCAAAGAGTTCTTCAAGGCCTTGTTTGGTTCAAAGGAGGGGAAGGAACGGGAGAGTCAAGGAGGAAAAGAAAGGGAAGGGGAAAGAAGGATTTTGATAAAAAATTGTGTTTGGTTGGAGGAAATAGGAGAAAAGGTTTAATGAAAATATTTTCCCAATTTACCTTTATTTGACAGCTTACTTAAAAAATAGATACATCTATAACTATTGTGGATATTACTCCTAAGGTCATAAGTCATAATTTTTTTTTCTTTGGATTTTTTGATTTTTTTACTTTTTAAATTTTATTTTTTATTTTGAAATTTTTAATTTTTAATTGAGAATTTTTCATTTTTGAATATTTGAATTTTCAATTTTTTGAATTCTTCAATTTTTGATTTTTTAATTTTTTAGATTTTTTCTTTTAAAATTTTTTTAATTTTTTTAATTTTTTAATTTTTTAATTTTATAATTTTATAATATTTTAATTCTTAATTTTTAAATTTTTAAAATTTTGAAATTCTTAAAATAGAACATATGTAGTATTTATATTATAATAGGTTAGAAAGCACATCCAAAAAAATATTCACACGCTTTAGTTTTCTTTTTCCACTGTATTTTTGCGATTTTTTATACACTTATTCTTTATTCAGTTATAAACTTACCAAGAACATAAGTATCTTGATATTTTTGTAATATCATTCCTACTTTTCTATATTACTATCTTTCCGCTATGTGATCAATTTTCATTGCACATAATCCATCTTAAAATCACGTTAAAAAGTCAATGATACAATTGAAAAACGAACGAGTCTGTTGCGTTCATTTTTTTGACAAATGTTTGTTGGGTTTGTTAAGATTAGATCTATACAGTACCATAAATAGAATAATATATAATATATATTTAATCGTATTTTGTAATGCTGGAACACATTGTCCGATTATTATGAATGTCAATGTATAAAATATCTTGTGACTTAAGCTTAATTTTGTAAGTAGAATTTCACTTTTTAAGGAACTGTGAATTAATTGATACACATGAAGTATTAAATTAATTTGACTTAATTCAGATTTTTTAAATTCGAATCTAGTAATGAATTTGTTTTCTGAATCATATGTATGTTCTATCTTTTACGTAGGAACTATCTTTAATTGGGAGCAAGCAAAATAATTTAATGGGGGCAAATTGTTTTTTACAAAGGAAAATGTATTTATTAATGTATGCTCCTAATAAATTATGAAAATGTTATCGGGGGCTTGTGCCATCACTCCTTTGAACCTAGATCCGCCCATGTCCCCTCCTCTCCAAAATCCTTCAACCAAACAGGACCCAAGGGTTTGCTCTATATAGATATAGATTATA